TGGAAGGAAAGAGGACTATTAACCTCCAATAAAAAGGAGGTTAAGCATGCAGCAGAGATCTTAGCATTGTTAGAAGCTGTTCAGGTACCTTCACAGGTGGCTGCTATGCACTGCCTGGGGCATCAGAAGGAGGACACTGAAGTGGCTACAGGAAACAATCTGGCTGATGGAGCAGCAAGAGAAGCTGCTAAAGGAACATTTATAATGTCTTTGGACCTGTTCTAGACTTGTCACAATTTGACCCTGAATATTCAACTGCAGACTTAGAGAAAGCTAAGACCTGGGGGTTTTCATGGAGAAGGTGCTGATTGTGTATGGAGAAAGGATAAGAAAGGAGTTAGACTGCTTCCTGATTATTTAGTAAAGCCAGCCATGAAGCATTTGCATGAGGCCACTCACTGTGAAAGAGACTCATTAACCGCCTGTATCAAGCTGTGGCCCACAGGTCCTGGCATTTCTAAAGCCATATGAAGAGTAGTTGCTAGATGTGCTGTGTGCCAGAAGAATAACACCAAGACAGATCCCCATCAAAAGAAAGATGGGGAACAATACCAAGGGCAGAGCCCATTTGAGGACTGGCAAATAGACTTTACCCAGATGCCAAGGGTCTGAGGGTGGAAATACTTGTTGTTCTTTGCTGACACCTTTTCAGGATGGGTAGAAGCCTATCCTACTAGAATGGAGAAATCCTCAGAAGTAGTGAAAGGCTTCCTGAAGGAAACCGTCCCTCGCTTTGGCCTACCTGACAGCATCTAGAACAATAATGGGCATGTTTTTGTTTCGGAAATTACACAGAAGGTTAGTAAATTTTTAGGAATCAAGTGGAGACTCCATATGGCATGGAGACCTCAGGCTGCTGGGGAGGCAGAGAAGGTGAATCACACCTTGAAGAAAAATATAGCCAAGCTGTGTCAAGAAGCTCATCACCATTGGGATCAAGCTTTACCTATTGCCCTGCCCAGGATAAGGGTGGCTCCTCGAAGTAGGATTCAATTGAGTCCTTATGAAATTGTGTACAGGTGACCACCTCAGCCTATGATTGGGTTGGGAGATGTGTACATAGATCAAGAAGCGAAGGCAAAGAAATATGTACAACACTTAAGTCAGACCTTAGTTGTAATGAATGACCTTGCTTGTATTTAGAGACCCCTCCTCTACAGGTCTGGTTACATTCCTTTGAACCTGGAAACAAGGTCCTCCTCAAGACTTGGAAGGTAGGATCTCCAGAGAGTCAACTAGAAGACAAATGGACTGGACCTTGGGACGTGCTCCTCCCTACCCCCACCGCAGTGATACTGGCAGAAATAAAACCTTGGATTCTTCACACCTGGGTAAAGAAGGCACTGGAGGAACGATGGACCACTGAACCGCAGAAAAACCTGGAAGTCATCTTTCAAAAACGATGATTTATGTTCTTTTCATTACTTATTGTTTAACCCCATGTTAAGGACAACTTATCCCTTTCAAATGAGATGAAAGCATTTGGGAATATGTAGCAAAAAATGTTCCCAACATCTCTGACTTTTGTCTTGCAGGAGGAACTTAGGTTGACAAGCTTTCACTTCATGTCTTGTAGGTGTTTGTACTCCCTTGCAAAGCCTTTGGAATTATACTGTGTTTGAGCATATCGAAAAGAAAATGACCTGCTCCAATATTTATAACTGGGGGCCCTTGGTAACTCTGAAGGAGAGGGAAATGCTTTCCTTAAAGGAATGTAGCCCCAGCTAGAGAGTGTGCAACTTTTGTCTGTTGTACTAAAAACTGTTTTTTTCAGCAGGTGTGAAGAGGAAGGAATTGCACCACCACCACTAATGTACCTTATGCCTTTGATCATGTTAAGTCGCCTGCGGCATGGTTTCTAATATGTGGAATGATTGCTTACTCCTGTGATCCAGCAAACAGTTCCGGGGGACCGTGCTCTCTGGGAAGGCAGATGGGGTTTATGCTTCAGAAGCCCCACCCAGTCCGGGCTCCATGGGGACTCTCCCTGGCCCCTGATTACAACAGTGACTCGCACCTCTTTAGCCCCGCTGAACATGTGTCTTCGACTATATTTGGAAAGCCAACCATGGTAACCTATTTGAATGTAGAAGTAAGTAGATTAGCCTGTGTTATGGCAAAAGCTTTGAATGCCACTCACAGGCCATCAGTGCCATTAGTCAAGAACTAGGACAAGTTAGAGAAGCAGTGCTAGAAAATCATGCAGCAATAGTCTACCTTCTTTTAAGACATAATGATGGATGTGAAGAATTTAAAGAACTCTGCTGTTTCAACCTGACTGAAAATTCACAGCTCACAGAGCATAAAATAAAGCAAGTAAATGAAGCAGTGTCCAACATAAAACAAAGAGGGGGACTCTTTGGTATTGATTTGTCTAAACTAACTTCCTAGTTGCCTAGTATTACTGGTCTTAGAGAGGCATTTTTGTCTCCATTTTTTTCAATATCATAGCTTCTTGTTCCATATAATGTGTCCCCTCACGTGGATCTGCAATTAAGTGTATTTTGAAGCTCCCTACCAGATGGTCTAAAGCTAAGGTAGGTGCTCAACAGCAAAATGAGCACTTCCATATGAAACGGATCTCACAGAAGTAAGCTAGTTTAAACTAACAGGGGGGAAATGATGGGGGACTCAAATGTTGGAAAAATTTTAGTTTCAGGTAATAGCTAATAAGCTTAGTAATCAATGTCTGTAAAAAGCTATTGTTTCAGGAACTGAAGGTATGACTCACTTTGACTCCAGGACACCAGAGCAGTTCCACCTTTGTGCCTGAGTAGGACTGCAAGCAATCAAAATAGCATCTGAGCCGTGGTACTCCAGGGTGGGCGGCCACAGCCCAGGATGCAGATAAAGGCCACCGCCCAGGGCACAGGTGGAAGAATGCTGCAGCTTTTTATCTGATTAACTATTCCCTGAATTCCAAGCCCCTTACCCACACTTTTCTTCTTACAAAAAGGGTCGGTTTAAAATGAAACTTTAGGTGGTCTGTTAGGGTACAAACCCGCAGTCTTCTCAGATCACCAGCTGTCTGAACAAAGCGCCCATGAAGAGTCAACCCCTGTCTCTGCTTATTGGGTCTGGTCGGTGACAGGCAGCACGAATGCCAGCTTTTCCAGTTTCATAACCCTTGACTTCTATCTTTTATTTGCCCCTTGTCCAAATACATAATCAACCCTTAAGTCTTATTGATACAGTTTCTTAAATCTCTCCCTGTCACAAGTTGAATCGTGTTCCCCGCAAAAGTTATGTTGAAGTCCTAACCCCTAGAACCTGAGAATGTGACCCTATTTGGAAACGGGGTCATTGCAGAGGTAATTAGTTAAGGTGAAATCATGCTGGAGCCGGTTCGAGGTGGGGGGCGGGGTCCTTCATCCACTATAACTGGTGTCCTAGTGATGCGAAGAGACAGACACACGGGGAGAACATGACGTGATGACAGGCAGAAATTAGAGTGATGACAGCTGCAAGCCAAGGAACACCAGGGATGGATGGCCACTACGAGAAGCAAGGGAGAGGGAAGGAAGATTCTACCCAGAGTCTCAGAGGGAGCATGGCTCGCCGACGCCCTGAGTGTGGACTTCTAGCCTCCAGAACTGTGAGAGAATACGCTGCTGTTGTTTAAGCCACCAGTTTTCTGGGACTTTGCTATGGCAGCCCCAGGAGACTAATACGGGCCTTAATCCGTTCACATTCCACCCCAGACTCATTGTGCTGCAAGAGCCTCTGAACTGGTTTCCCAGGTTCTAGTGTTGCTTCTTGACCTTCATTCTCCATGTGAACAGCCTGAATGAGCTTTCTAGGCTCAAATTACTCCCGTTTACACTTGTCAGTGCCTTCCCAGTACTCAAGTTTTCTGGTATCTATCCAGGATTCTTTCTGCTCTTTCACTATAGGTAAACTAGTTGTGCATTGGTGCAATGTTTAACAATAGACTCTCTAGCGGGGGTGGGGGGGGAAGTCTTGATTTGTAGCATTTACTGGTTTCTGTGGTGTAAATACTTTTATCTTGGTGAATTTCAACATACACATGTGAAGTCACTGAACCAAATTTTATGCTCTCTACTCTCTTAAAGTTTATAGTGCTGGGGGGAGAGCCAACCATTCAGAAAGCGGCTATTGTCAGAACATACAAAATTCTGTCTCTGAAATGATGCAAAAGGCTATAAATAAAAAATAAAGGATCCCAAAGGAATGACCTGTTGAAAATATGCCCAGATGGAAAACTCATGTGAATAGAAAGCGTTGTTCATTGTCATGTGTTGGAACCAAACACCAGTGATAACTTCTGCAAAGGTGAGTTGATGAACCAGAAATACAAGTCCCTGCAGGCCTGCCCCCTCTCTGTAGCTTTTCTGATTTATCTCAAGCAGAAATAATTCCTCCTTCCTCAGTAGTTCCTGTATATTTATATTCAGCTGCTACTTTAAAAAAAATTTTTTTTTTATTTTTAGACTTGCCTACAGAATACATCCAAACTTCCTAACTTGGCAGAGAGGTCTTATACTAAATGAGTTTCCAAAGAAGTTGAGTTGAGACAGCAGGGATCCAGGCTTTGGGGCTTGATCAGCTGTGGGTTCAGCTCCTGAACTGCTACTTAATGCTGTGAGGTCTCATGCTGGTGTCCTGACTTCCTGGCCTCAGTTTCTTCATTCTTAGATTCCTTCCTTGTAAGATTAACACAAAGATAAAACAACGTAAGACATATCAGGTGCCTAACATGCCACCTGGCACATGTTAAGAATGCAAGAAATGCTTGTTCTCTCCTTTTATAGGTTAAACATTTCCTGCCTGTTCAAATCACCTTTACATTTTTGAAGACCTTATTTGTCTATGAATGAATTAGTTCACTTACTCAGCCACTGTGGACTGAATCTCTGATTCCATTGTCTTTAAAAATCAGTGGTTTTGCAGAGCTAGGACATGGGTAAGTTCTTGGACTCAGGGGTCAGGGATGCAAGGTAAGGTCCCATGAAAGTTGTTCTTTCTTTTTTTTTCTTTTGAAAAGTAAGGAACGCTTCATGAATTTATGCATCCTCCTTGCTCAGGGGCCATGCTAATCTTCTCCATATCATTACAATTTTTAGTATATGTGCTGTCAATGTGAGCATGAAAGTTGTTCTTAAATGTGGGCCAAGGTGCTAAAAGGCGTCAGTGACGCTCATGATTAAGCCTCGCCAAATAAAGCTATAACCGTGAATGACACTAGTGCCCCCACGAAGGGCTGGACACTTAACCCAATGACTTCAACTCCTTCCTTTAACCCTCCCGTTAACCTTATGGGAGTAATATTGTTCCCATTTTGCTGATGAGAAAACAGATGTTCCGAGAAGTCCATGCTCTGTAATGTTTCCTGTACCCCTACTATATGCCAGGCACTGTCGTAGGCATGGGAGACAGAGCATGGACAAAACAGATAAAAATCCCCGCCCGCATGGAGCTTCCCTCATGACATTTGAGGGAAGAATGCAGAAACAAAATGGAGTCACTATAGTCAAGCTGACAAAAATCAGTGGACTAAAACATGAGGAAAATGATTTTATTTTACTTCAGCTAGCCTGGGAACTTAGACTTTTGAACTTATCAGTTGTGTATCAATGCCTAGAGGTATCTAAATTCTATAGATAACCTTCTGAAAAACTTAGGAAAGAATGTTCATGTGTCTAGACCGTTGGACATCTGGCAGATCACTATCTCGGACCAAATCAGAAGCTAAGAATGCAGGGCTGAGTCTTCTCAAACAGTGAGCTTTTTACTATAAAAACTCTCAACTTCTTTCTTTTCTCCAGAATATGCTGGGTATTGCCTAGGAATGTTTCCTGAGTTGTAATTCACTCTCTTAAGATCCTTGAATAAAACTTTGCCATTTAATTCTAGCAAAGCCTCTGATTCATTAACACTTGGTCGACACATTAACAAAGCAATAAACAAAATAAAAAGTAAAATATATTGTATGTCAGGTGCTGCTAAGCTCTATAGAGAAACACAGAGCAGGAGTTTAAGGTTGGGGGGTGGTGCGTAGGCTGCATTTCAATTTCAGGTGATCAGGGAAGGCTTCATGGAGAAGGTGACGTCTGTGCAGAGATGTGGAGGAGGGGAGGAGTGGGTTATGTGGGTAACTAGTTCAGAAACTTGCCTGAAGTTACCAGGAAGTGATCACAGGCTCTGGAGTCGCTGTCAGGCCCTAAAGCCCATGCTGTCTCATCATTATGCCTCTTTTTCAAGAGGCAAGGCTGCTGTCCTCCAAGCCGAGAGAGAGAGAGAGAGAGAGAGAGAGAGAGAGAGAGAGAGAGAGAGAGAGAGAGAGAGAGAAATCCCTGGGCTGATCCTGTTGGAACCCAGACCTTCCCTACTGACACCTTCGAGGGGCAGAGGCCTCACATTGTTGATTTTCATGAAAACTTGGCAACTCCCTAGTTTCCCTGCCCTGAACCCTGTACCACATTCCAGCGGCTTTATTTGTGTGCTTTGGAGCCCTGCCAGGGCTGGCCCCGGGACAGATTGCCATGGTGATCTCCTGCTCTTTCCAGACAGAAACCTCTCAAGGATGTTGCCCTTGGGACTGAAATAGTTCAGGCCGCTCTGAGCAGGCAGCGGGATGAACTCTGGCTTGGTGAGTTGAGCTAGGAAACCTACTCATTCTCTCCAGCTTTTGAATTTGAGCAAACCAGACCCTGGGGAGAGACTTCTGGGGAGCCTGCTCCAGAACCCCAAATTACAATCTGGTTGTTACATTTAGGGCCTGCCTCTGAGAGATGGGCTGAAGCAGAACAGTTTTTAAAAGCTCAACTTCACTGAGGTATAATTTGCACACAATGAAATGCACCCATTTAAAGTGGACAGTTTGAAGAGCAAACAAAACAGAAACAGATTCATAGATACAGAGAAAAAACTGTAGTCACTGATGAAGGTGGGGTTGAAAGGCTGGGTAAAAAAGGTAAAGGGATTAGGAAGTACAGATTAGTAGTCACAAAATAGTCATGGGGATGTACAGGAAAGCATAGGGGATACAGTCAATGATATTGTCATAACTATGTACGGTGCCAGGTGGGTACTAGACTTATTGGAGGATCACTTAGTAAGTTATAGAGATCACTAGTCATTATGCTGTACACCTGGAACTAACATAAAATAATACTAAATGTCAAATGTTATTGAAAGATTAAAAAATTAAAAAAACGGAATCACTTTCAGTTAGTACTAGATATTTATACACACAGTTCTCTTTATTCACAGTGTTTACAAAAAAAAAGTGTACCTTTTGTCGAGTTTTGACAACATATACACTTGGGAAATGAGCACTACCATGAAAATATAAAACTTTTCCATCCAATCCCAGAGTTTCTCCCAGCTGCTTTGCAGTTACCCCCCCCGCCCCCCCACTCTGGCCTCTGTCTCCACAGATTCATTTTGCCTTTTCTAGAAGTTCATCTAAATTGAATCACCTGGTATGCACACTGCTGCGGCGGGCTTCTTTTTTGCTCGGCGTAACGTTTTCGAGATTCATCTGCGCGGCTGTTTGTATCAGCAGTTCGTTCCTTTTCATAGCTGGTTCCTTTGTATGGAGTAACCACAGTTCATCCATTCTCTTGTTGACAGACATTCAGGTTGTTTTCTGCTTTTGATCATTACCAATAACTTTGCTAGGTGTATTTGTGAATAAATCTTCGTGTAAACATGTACTTTCATTTCCATTGGGTAATACTAGCAGCGGAACAACGGGGTCATACGGTAAATGCATATTTAACTTTATAAGGAACTGGGAGCAGTTGGTTCTGGCTCACAGGGACTGCAATCACTAATGCCTCATGAGTCGGGTCCAGAGGGGATTTCAGGAAGGGAGAGCAGGGTCCTTTTTCAGTGAATAATTTGCCTGACTATTTAAGGAAGTCCATGAACACCTACTGGTAGGCGCTGAGAACAGGTCGGGTAAGAGTCAGGTAGGGAACTGACTGGGAGGAGTCATGTCTGAGGACAATGTGGTGATTGGGTGAAGGAGGATTGCGGGCACTTCAGAAAGATGGGGGGGAGAGGGGGACACAAAATAGGGCTCAGGGTCGCAGGCTAGGAAATCTCAGTTCAGCCTGGCTTCAAGGGACCAGTAGTTCCCTTTAGGGCAGCTTGCTTCTCTCTCTCTCTCTCTCTCTCTCTCTCTCTCTCTCTCTCTCTCTCTCTCTCTCTCTCTCTCTCTCTTCTCCTGTCTATCCACTGTTGTCCAGCAGAAAAGAAGGCTTAAAGAGGATCATGTATTGGGTGCTCTGTGCTGGGCACTTGACATACTTATCTCAGTTAATCCTCAGAGTAACATAGTGAGGTTTGTGTTCTTCCTCAGTTTTTGAGACCAAGGGTATTTTAATGATTAGCTGTAGGCAATCATCTAAGGAGGGTTAGGTGAGGTCACCGCTATTTGTAAGAAAGGGATAGCTCAGCTGAGGGGAAGGCTTGAAGAGATGGCAGCAACTGAGGGAGGGGAGAGAGAAAGAGGAAGAGAGATTAAGAGAGGGACACTATGGCAGCTAATAGAATCTGAGGAAGGGGTTGAAGGCCAGCAGATGTCATCCCGCAAAGCAAAAGGTCGCTGGTTCGATTCTCTCCTCTCTTTCTCCCTCTCTTCCTCTCTCTCTAAAAATAAATAAATAAAATCTTTAAAAAAGGTTACTTGACTAGCAGCCAGAGCCAGAAGGGCACCTTGACCTTCCCTTATCTTCTTGGATGCAGAAAATAAACCTCCCATGTGAAAGATACCTTTCTTATCCACCTGGAAAAGACCCCTCATCGCTAGAGCTAAACAACTCAGAGCGAAAAAATATGTTAAATCAAATCTTACTGCCTATTTTCTAGTTTATTACTTTGTTTAAATTCTTTCTTAATAAATACCCAAACATCGTTTATATTCCTTTCTAATGGGCACCAACTTTCTTTGTCCTGGCAACTTTTTTTTTTTTTCCTAAAAGATATAAAAAGTTTCTTGGTTTTAATCATTTCTTTGAGCTTCATTTTATGAAAGCATAATATTGTGATTTTTCTATACACACATATTAAATTGGCTTTTCTCCTGTTAGTCTAGTCTTGAGTCAGTTTTATTATTTTATTGCTAATCCAGCTGTAAGAACTTAAGAAGGGTATAGGGGGGGATTCTCCCCATCCCTGACAACAGAACACCCAGACAAACTTTGTCACAAACTTTCATACCTCCCATGTATTCTTCCAAGGGCTCATTCATCTTTCCTAAAAATCACATGCTTTCTTCTAAGAGGCCAACCCCTTTTCTCTTCCCCTATTGAAATGGTATTAAATTCTGAATTCTAGAGGCACCTCTTTAGGGTATTAATTTTTCCTGAATATCTCCCATGTATATTTGAGATAATGCATGTGTTTGCTTTTTGCTTTTAATCTGTCTTCTATTACAGATGACTCAGCCAAGAACTCAGAAGTGTAAAAGGGATTATAATTATTTTTCCTCTCCTACAGAGCCAAGACTTTTTGGAAGTTTTGTTATGTAACATGCACTGTAATTCCCTCCTTAAAACTTTCAGGAAAAATACTCATCATATTCATCTTGCTTTTGAAGTTGGGCATGTGCGTGTGTGTTTTAATGTGCTTATGTGTGAGACTGACTTTAAGTCTTGGGTAGGTACAAAGAGACTCAGTTACATTTGGATTATGTGTAAATGGAAAAACAGAATAATTTACTTGAGAGAGAATAATTTGCTCAAGATCACGCAGCTGGATCCACATTGACTGACTCTAGTATTCTTTCCTTTGCACTGTATGGTTCTGCTGAGGCTCTAGGAACTTGCCTTGGGTGCTAGAATAAGATATGTTCCTCTGCTTTGTAATTCCCAATTTTTTCAGTGATTCCACCTACAGATAGATGGCTGGTCTACATAACCTGTGAAGGAAACCAGAATATGTCATCCCACAATATACCTCTTCAACATAATTATTTTGATTTGAAGGAACTTAAGAAACAGCAAATGCAGAAGATGCTCTCTATACCTTTTCCTTTTCTGCCCATAGGCAGGATATAAAATTTCATTTACTAGAGATGACTTTAGACTCTTCTCAGCCCAGAGATGTCACCAGAGGAATCTGCAGACAAATCTTACTT